GAAAACTATGCACATGATTTTTCATATACTGTACTCTTATAAATTTATGTGCATGCATCTTGTAATAACCTTAAATTTCAACATTCAACAAAACGTTTCCTGACTACAATAAAAGCAAAAAAAAAAATTTCTTGAAAATAGCGGTGCCGAACTTGTCCTTCGAATGAGCTACCAACAACATAAGTACACAGTATTAAGATCACCTGTTTGTTGATTAAAAAAAAAAAAAAATGATCACCTGTTTTGGGCTCTTAAAAAAGTCACTGCCTCTGTACAGAACATTGACTATTTACCAATACCACTAACCAATAACCAAAAAAGTACATTATTATTAATAACGTCGACCTATTTATCGTGTCAAATTCATATTTTTATGTCTATATATACATACACTCTCAAACACGTTTTGAATATTAGTTTTGTTCAAAAAGACGAAATGGCAATGAAGCTAGAACTCTTAGGCAAAGAAGTAATCAAACCCGCTTCACCTAATCATCTCCAAACCCTTCAACTTTCTCTCTTCGACCAATTTCTTCCTTCAACTTACGTTTCCGCCCTTTTCTTCTACAATGATCAAGTAAACCAACAAGACATTATAGTCCAGAGGCTCAAGAGCTCACTCTCTCAGACTCTGTCTCTTTTTTATCCACTCGCTGGACGGATCAAAGAAGGCGTCACTGTCGATTGCAACGACGAGGGAGCCTTGTTTACAGAGGCACGGGCCGATGTACTTCTCTCTGATCTTTTGAGAAACCCATCAGATGCTGGTTTGGTTCACAGGCTCATTGTCTCTCCGGGTCCTGCAGATCCAGGAACCTGGCCTTTGTTGCATGTCAAGTCATTTTCTTTCGAGACAGAGGATATGCGGTTTCGGTTAGCGTGTCTCACAAGATATGCGATGCGGCCTCACTGTCGTCGTTTGTTTGTAGCTGGACAAAGGCTGCAAAAGGGTATGCTGATGACATAGTGAATCCAGAATTCGCGGCGTCCCTTTTCTACCCTCCTGCTGATACTTCCATCGAGTTTTTCCCGTTACTCGTACACGAAACAAAATCTAAGACAAAGAGGTTTGTCTTTGGTTCTTTGATGATTGAAAAGCTCAAAAGCAGAGCTTCTTGTAGCAAACGTGTGCCACAAGCTACACGCGTCGAATCCATCACGGCACTGCTGTTAAGATGCGCGACAAAGACGAGGCGGTCAAAGGCGTAATTTGTTATGACACAGACGATGGACTTGCGACCTAGAGTTCCTTCTTCTCTCTTGCCGCACAAGGCAATTGGAAACTTTTTCTTTTTGTCTTTACTGAAAGAGACCTCAGAGAGTAAGATGGAAATCCAAGAAACGGTGTTTAAGCTGCGTAAAACTAAAGAGGAACTCAATCAGCTGATCACAAAGGATCCGGAGGATGGAAGGACAAATAGCGATGAGGCGAAAGAGAGAATCGCAAGCGCGATGCTGAGCTCATTGTGTGAGGTAAGTCCTGAGACAGAGACATATGCTGTGTCTAGTTGGTGCAGAATGTCGTTTTACGAGGCGGATTTTGGGTGGGGGCTTCCTGTTTGGGTTGCTCCTGATTCAGTTGACAAGACTCAGGTTGTTTTGATGGATGCAAAGGACGGTGAAGGGATTGAGGCATGGGTGACATTACCTGAAACCGACATGGCTACGTTTGAGCATGATGATGAGCTGCTTCTTTTTGCTATTCCAAGTCCTAGTGTCCTCATCCAGTGATGATAAGCATGTTTATCAAACAAGTCTACAAACTTTTTATAGACTTGTGTAATAAAAGTATCCCTGTATTATGCTTAACTAATCAAAATACTATTATGAGAATTTTTTTTTTTTAGTAAAAAATTATGGTTTTTAAAATATATCTATGAGATTAAAAATAGGTAATCGGTATAATTGTGATGTGGGTGCAGCAGGATAACATATATTAACATTCCATTTTTGCAAATGTATTGAATGAAAAATTAAACAGCAAACCATCTATAAATATCAAAGGTTATTATCATGATGAATAATAAAGAAACATAGTTCGAACATGGAATCGATCACCAGTTGAAACTAATTGCCTCAAAGTGAAGATTCTTAGCCAAACCAGATGAACATATTCTTGCCACTTCATGCCTCATCTTTCTTGGACCGCACACCATCACCCCAACGTCTTCCGAACCTTCTGCCTCAAACAAAATCTCTGCAAAACGAAAACGTTTAAGTGTCAGATTCATGTTTATATATTCACTCAAAAACTTTATGCCATGTATGTGGTGATGCTCACGTGGTAATAGATGACTTACTTTTCAGATTAGGTTTGGAGCCGAAGTGGACTGAAGTGGCTTGTACTATAGATTGATAAGGAACGCTCTCGAGCTCTCTCTCTCGGCCGTGGTGGAACCATGAACCTGGAGAAGACGTGGGAGTCTGAAAATTTACGCTCTGTACCTGTTTCTTGGACTCTTTATCTCCTTCTTTGTTCAGTTTCTTGCGCCACAAGAAAACTACGCTTGAACAGATGAAAATGCAGACACATCCTAGGAACATGTCCCAAAGCGCTCTATACGAGAAATTGTAGATTTTTCCTGTGTTACGATCAACAGGGTATATATAATAACGTGTGACAATGGCTATGAGCAAGAGAAACATGACGAATGATGATAAGATCACGATTCCGAGCCACATGAAGTTGTTGGGTCCAAGAACAGGTGAGATTGGAGAGTCTAGTGGCTGCGGTTTGAACCATTTTGTCTGCACAAGACTGTGATCATCTGTGGTCTCTGGTTTCTTGTCTTCTTTTGTAACATAGGCCTCGACCCGGAGATTTAGCTTAGAAATGTCTGAGACTGATATATCTGATGGGAAGATTAGGTCTAAAAACGCAAGATCATGGTAATGTTTAAAGGCACAAACAAGAAGAACATCTGGTAGATTTGTGCTCTTGTTTTGGCTCTGAAAGATGAGTTCTCTAATAACCGAAATGAAGGGAGTAATTCCACTGCCTCCGCTCACTAGTATTAGAGAGTCATGCCTAATATATGATGACAATGACAACAATAAGACATACTTTAGATAAAGTAGTGAAGAAAGAAACTGAATTAAAGCCTTAAAGTTCTCCTACCTCGACAAATCGAAGGAGTTAGGGCCATAAGGACCTTCAGTAGAAACCTCGAGAGAATCGAGGGTAGAAGAGATATGTGTATAAAGCTTTTGCGTCCAACTTCCCTGTCTTCTGATGACAACACTTAGTGTATCTTTCTCCAAGTTACTGCTTGAAGTTATTGTGAATGGATGCCATTGAAGCTTGGAAATGCTTGGCACATGTAGAAACAATATGCTCGTTGGTGTATATTGTAGCCCTATAGGTAGATGAAACAAATGGTTACAATCAGTACAATAATTTGGTTGAAAACGTAAAGCATCTCTCTCTTAAACATTTTTAAACTTGGCCTGTAGCCCAAGTTAATGTTGTCGTGTGTTTAGACAAGCA